TGGTGGACTCTCCAGGAACTGGGCCCGGGGCGGCCTGGCTTTCTCAGTCCTGTCCCCAAGGCTGGGGGTGGGGTGGCAGGGGAGGGCGTGGCAGCATGCGCATGCGCACTCACCGAGGCCGGCCGGAGGCCCGACGGCCCGCAACCCCCAGGGCGGCGCCCCCAGCGCGGCGAAGCGACGCAAGCGGAGGTAAGTGACACTGAGGCGCACGATGGACGCCTTGTCCAGCTGGCTGGAGATGGCACCGGGCAGAGGGAGCAGCTTGGCCAGTTCGAAGAACTCTAGATTTTCCTTCCCGCGCCGCCAGCGCGCCGCGTTGCGGGACTTCTCTTTGCGCTGCGCCTGCAGGCTGGGCAGGCGGCGTGGAGGAGGCGTCAGTGAGGGCCCTGGGCGCACGGTCCCCGCGCTTCAGGAGGTGGGACAGACCTGAGTGTCAATTCTACACCCCTGCTGGCTTGGGGACAGAGCCTTTATTTATTTAATAATAATAACAACAATTATTATTACTACTACTACTATCATTATTATATTTATGGTAGTAGGGATTGAACCCAGGGTCTCCAGCACTTTATCACTAAACTACATCCCTCCGGCATTTTTTTCTTTTTTATTTTCTTGTTGAGACTGGGGTCTTACTGGGTAGACCAGGCTGGCCTTGAATTTTATAGAGATTTGCTTGCCTCTGCCTCGGGAGCACGGAGATTAAAGGCATGCGCAACCACGCCCGGCTCTTGTTTTTGCTTTTTTGAGACGTCTCTCTATTTTGCCCAGGCTGGCCTTGAACTGGCGAGCCTCCTGCTCCTGTTTCCGAGTGTTGGGATGTCAGGCCACCGGGCTCGGCTGCGGACAGAGCCTTCTCCCTCGCCTGACAATGTCGGGGGTGAATTCGGAGCGTGGGGGACTAGAAAACCGAACTCCGGAGTGGGCGAGGGTGACAAAGTCTAGGCGCAGGGTCAGGGCACTGACCTGAGTATGAATTCTCACCCGGAAGGCTGTGAGGTCCCCCCCGACCCCCAGCACGCCTTCGGGGGGCAAGGCCATGGGCAGGGGCATTACATTTGCTCACCAGGGTCCTGGCGGGGCCTTGACCATTAGCCCGGGCAGGAAATCCCAGGGGACGCTGGCTCCACGGCCTCCCCCGCACTTGACCTCACCTCGGCCGCTGCTTCTGGGGTAGGGGGTCGCCATCTCGGCGGGGACTCGAGAATTCAGGCGCGAAGGAGTCGCAGGCGCGGCTCAGTTCCCTGGAGGGGGAAGAATATCTAGGGAAAGTGAGGTGCGTGCAGGTCCCCGAGGGTCCAGCCAGGAACTGACTTGGATGCGTGCCTCAGTTTCCCCTTGCCGGGAAGCGGCGGTTCCCACCCTGGCGCTCCGGGTGAGGACGTGCCCCGCCGCCGCCTCCCCCGCGCGGCCCGCCAGCGCGCCCGCCTCACGCCCGCGCCGGGCCGGCTCCCGCATACCAATGGGCGCACGCGGCGCGCATACGGATCGGACCGGCCCGCGCGCTGCGTGCCAAGCATGCCCAAGCTGCGCTCGGGGCGGGAGCCTCGCCAGGGCCCCGACGCTCCGGGCTCCATCCCTCCCCCCAAAGCTTCCCAACACCCCAGGGATCCGTCCCCCAAAGCCACCCCCCAGGGTCCCACTCCCCAGGTCTGCAGCTGCACCCATTTCCTAGCCTGGGCTAAGGAGGCCGGGAGGACAGAGGGACCCCACCCCAAATCCTGCCCAGGAAGCATTCAAGCCCCTGGGGTGGCGCCACCTGACCCGGTTGCTAAATATTTCCAACCCACAACTTCCTCCCTAAAGACCAGGGCGTGAGACCCTGGCCCATGACACCGCTGGCCACTGTGATTCCAGGATGGACGCGACACTCGGGACCCAGGTGTTCTGGAATCCAGATCCCCAAGAACCAGGGACGTGTCCAACTGGCTCTTTCCTCTTCAGGATTAGGTGTCCAGGCCGCTCATGTTCCCAGCATCCAGGTGGCCCCCAAGCCTCCCCCAAACGCGTTGACGTCTAGTGCCCTGAACCTGTGTGACCAGGACCCCAACAACCACGCACCACTCTCTGGATCTCGCCGGTACAGACGTCCTGATGCCGTGGCCTCCAGGTGACCAGAGTCTGGGCCCCACATTCCGGCAGGACCCAGGGGTCCCCATTCCCTCCCGCCAAGCCTTCAGGCGTCGCGCACCCACAGGGCTCCGGACCGGGTTACCTGGCCGCGGGGTGGGCTCGGGGCGCGGCGTGGGGCCGGCCGGGTGGCGTGGAGGGGCAGCTCCATAGACCCTGGGGCGCGCGGGCTAGGGCTCCAGGCTCTCGGCGCCCACGGCGGCCTCGCAGACTTGGAGACCACGGACAGCGGCGGCGAGGGGCGGTGCTTGTATTCGCCCCGCCCACGGGGGCCCCGCCCAGCGCCGGCCCGCGCGCCTCTGCCTGCTGGATATCTTGGAGTCCGCAGCCCGCGGAGTCTGAGTTGTCTCACCCTACGACCACATCAGGCAGGTCGAGTGTCAAGCCTCTCCACCCTGGAATTCCACCACGATCGCCATCCTCAAAGGATGGAGCCCCTCGGCAGCCCCTGGGGACCCTGGGGGCAATCTGGTTCAGTAGGAATGGACACTCAGACGTCCGTGTCCTCTCGAGAGACCTACATCTAGGCCTTTGACGATCTCCCTTCCCAGGAGAAAATTCCAGGATGCCAGTCTCCTCCATTCAGGGCAGGACTTGGTGGGCACCTGAACCCTTCCTCCACCCAGGTTTTAGTTGTTAAGGGAACTCAACAGTCCAGTCCCGCAACCACCGCTCCCCCCACCCCCCACCCCCGCCCCAGGTCTTGCCTCTGTGGCTCCCCATTGGGACTAGAACCCCGACCTGTGGGAGCCTAACTTCATAAATGAGAACAGGGTCAGTGAGGTGTGGTGGCACTCACTCGTTAATCTCAGCGTTTGGGACAATGAGGCAGGAGGATTGCACAAATTGGAAGCAAGCCTGGGCTACGAAATGAGTTCCAGTCCGACCCAGTTTGGGATTCAGAGTGAGACCCTGTCTCAAACATAATAAAATAAAATAAAGAGCAGCTGGGCTGGGAGAATGGCTCAGTGGGTAAAGCTTGCCACAGAACCGTGAGGACCTGAGTTCAGATCCCCAGAATTCGCATAAAGTCAAAGGTGGTGGTCTGTTTCTACAATCCCAGCACTCCGAAGGGCACAGCAACAGATTCCTGGGAGCTGGAGGCCTAGCCTGGTTATACAGCAAGGGACCGTCTCAAACAAGGTAGGAAGGGAAGGCGCATCATATGAGGTTGCCCTCTGACCTCTACAGGTGGGTCCTGGCGTCTGTGCACGCCCCCCCCCCCAACACACACATATGCACAGTCACAAAATGTAAACAGAAGACAAAGAAGAAAGAATGAACTCAGTGCTGGGGGTTCAGCTCAGCGGTTGAGCACCCTGGAAATAAACAGTCCTCCCAGGTAACTAGTCCTTAAACAGAGGGATGACATGAACAGACCCGGGCTCCCTGCCTGAGCTCAGAAGCACCCCACTACAGACGAGTCTTACGGTCACATCTTAATTTAGTTTTATTTATTTGTTTGTTTGCTTATTTATTTATTTGCGACAGGGTCTCATGTAACCCAGGCTGGCCTGGAGCTCTTGATCCTCGTGACTCCTTCTCCCAAGTGCTGAGATTACAGGCATGCACCGCCGCCACGTATTACTTAAAAAAACATGAATAAAAAGACTGCCAAGTTTGGTGCTGGTGCTGCACGCCCTTAACCCCGACCCAGGAGACAGGTCTGAGTCGACATAGTGAGTTCAATTGTGTGTGTGTGTGTGTGTGTGTGTGTGTGTGTGTGTGTAGCTGGAGGAGTCCAGAAGAGGGTGTTAGATCCTTGGGACCTAAAGTTACAGAGGGTTACGAATCTCCCAGCGCGGGTCCTGGGAACTTGCTCTGAAACACTAAACCACCTCTCTAGCCCCCACCACTTTACAAATATTTTCTTATTACATTGATCTATTTATTCATGCATGCTATGGCGGCATGTGGAGGTCAGGGGACAAGCTGTGAGGGCTGGTCTCTCCTGCAACCGTATCGGCCCCAGGGACTGAACTCAGGGAGTCAGGCTTGGTGGCATGTGCCTTTACTCACTGAGCCATCTTGCTGGCCCCCGTGCTCAGCTTTAACAGTCACACGTTAATCAAGCCCTACTCTCTTACTTTATGTAGCCCTGGCTGTCCTAGAGCTCACTCTGTAGACCAGGCTGGCCTCAAACTCACAGAGATCTGCCTGCCCCTGCCCCAGAGTGCTGGGATCAAAGGTGTGCACCACCACATCTGTGCTAATTTGATTTTGTGTTTAAGAGTGTTTTGCCAGGGGCTGGAGAGATGGCTCAGAGGTTGGGAGCATTGACTGGTCTTCCAGAGGTCCTGAGTTCAATTCCCAGTAACCACATGTTGGCTCACAGCCGTCTATAATGAGATCTAATACCCTCTTCTGGTGTATAGGCAACCATGTAGACAGAACACTATATTCGTAATAAATAAATAAAATCTTAAAAAAAAAAGTGTTTTTCCAAGCCAGGCGGTGGTGGCAAGAGCCATTATCCCAGCACTCTGGAGGCAGAGGCAGAGGCAGGCAGATTTCCTAAGTTCAAGGCCAGCATGCTCTATAGAGTGAGTTCCAGGATAGCCAGGGCTACACAGAGAAACCCTGTTTCAAAACCAAATGAAACAAAACAACAGAAAAAAAAAGAAAGAAAGAAAGAAAGAAAATTCAGGGCAGGAGAGATGAGATAGCTCAGTGGTTAAAAGCACTGGCTTCTTTTCCAGAGGACCGAGGTTCAATTCCCACATGGCAGCTCACAACTGTCTGTAACTCCAATTCTAGGGGACCTGACACCTTGGCAAAACACCAATGTACATTGAAAAAAAAGGAAGAAAGAAAGAAAATGAAAAAAAAAAAAAAAAAGAATAGCCAGAGGTGGGTCAGTGGTTCCGAGCATTTGCTGTCATATCTGATGACCTGAGCTGGACCCCCGAACCCACAGGCGTCAAGGAAACTGACTCCTGGGAAAGAGGGTTTGTATGCACAGAGAAGCTTCTTTGAGCTGCCGAGGCACTAGCAATGGACACTCAGGAAGACGTTCAGCCCCCGAAGCAGCAGCCGATGATATCTATTTGTGGAGAGTGTCCCACCGAAAATGAAATAAAGTCCAGGGATCCAATCAGATGCAGAGAATGTGGATACAGAATAACGTACAAGAAGAGGACTAAAAGATTGGTGGTCTTTGATGCTGGATGAAAAGTGGGAATTCAGGAGTGTCTTCATTCATACATTTGCCCCATTGATGTTTCTCGTACAGCTTCTGACTTAGCTTACTGAGGACTACAACTGTAAACCTCTGGTTTCATTTTAGAAATGTGATTGTATTTTGATACTTTGTATAAAGGAATTTTTGGTTTAAAAAAAAAAAAAGAAAACTGACCCCTGACTTTCCGTCCTGTCCTGCGTTGGTGCACACGCACCCCCTCCACACTCCGACCACATGCATAAACAAGCCAGTCTAAAAAAAGAAGAAGAAAAACTGTCAAAAGGTAAGTACATAAAAAGAAGGCCCCTTGCTTTGTCTGGGGGGGGGGGGTGTCTGAATCTTAAGACCTCCACCATGCTGTTGCATTAATACGCATCTTGCCGAGAGGGTGGGTCCACTCTGTGCCTCTCCCTCCCCATCCTCCTCTTCCTCCTTTCCTAAAGCCTAATTCATATAAAATAACCAAATTAAGTAATCAATGGAAATGGAGGGGCTGTTGTAATCCCCCCACCCAGGGCAGGGACCTGGGTGTACAACCCAGGGCCTTCTGCCTCCCACAGGCCATCCGACACCATCTCTCAGCTCTGAACACCCCCAGAACATCAGGTGCCTCGAGCGTGCCGTTTGGGTTCCTGTCCTGACTTCCTCCAATGATGAACAGTGACGTGCAAGTGTAAGCAGAATAAACCCTTTCCTCCCCAAGTTACTTTTGGCCACAGTGTTTCACCACAGCAATGGAGACCCTAACTAATGTATCTAAAGGCACTTTGGCTCTGTGGCCCCAGGAAGGTGACGTGCCAGCCTCAAGAGGTAGCCCAGGTGGGCTGTGGTGGCGCACGCCTTTAATCCCAGCACTCCGGAGGCAGAGCCAGGTGGATCTCTGTGAGTTCGAGGCCAGCCTGGGCTACAGAGTGAGATCCAGGACAGGCATCAAAACTACAGAGAGAAACCCTGTCTTAAAAAAAAAAAAGAAAAGAAAAAAGAAAGAGGGGCTGGAGAGATGGCTCAGAGGTTAAGGGGCACTGGCTGCTCTTCCAGAGGTCCTGAGTTCAATTCCCAGCAACCACATGGTGGCTCACAACCATCTGTAATGAGATCTGGTGCCCTCATCTGGCCTGCAGACAGACATACATGCAGGCAGAACATTGTATACTAAATAAATAAATCTTAAAAAAAAAAAAAAAAAAAGAGGTAGCCCAATGCCTCCGTTTGTTCTCTGTATTGTCATAAACACCATAACCAAAAGTAACCTGGGGAGGGGCTGTTGGATGGTTTTACATCAACTTGACACAAGCTAGAGTCGTCTGAAAGGAGGGAACCTCAACTGAGAAGATGCCTCCATAAGACCTGGTGGTAGGGGGCTGGAGAGATGGCTCAGCGGTTAAGAGCACTTGCTGCTTTTCTGGAGGTCCTGGGTTCAATTCCCAGCACCCACATGGCAGCCCACAACTGTCTGTAACTCCAGTTCTAGGGGATCTGACACTCTCACACCAATGTACATTAAAAAAAAATACTTGGCCATAGGACATTTCTTAATTAATGATTGATGGGGGAGAGCCCAGCCCACTGTGGGTGGTGCCATCCCTGGGCTGCTGGTCCTGGATTCTATAAGAAAGCGGGCTGAGCAAGCCATGAGGAGCAAGACAGTAAGCAGCATCCCTCCATGGCCTCTGCATCAGCTCCTGCCTCCAGGTTCCTGCCCTGTTTGAGTTCCTGTCCTGACTCCTTCAGTGAGGAACAGTGATGTGGAAGTGTAAGCCAAATAAACCCTTTCCTCCCTGAGTTACTTTGGTCGTGGTGTTTTATCACAGCAACAGAAACCCTAACTAAGCCAAGGTGGTACTAGGGAGCAGGGTATTGCTGTGACTGCCCTGACACATGTTGTTTTGGGGGGGATTGTGGAAGGACTTGGAACTCTGTGAAAGAAAAGCCATTGAGTGTTGAGACCTCAGTGACCTGTTCTATAAGAGCTTGGAAGACAAGAACGTCAAAGGTGCCTGGCGGTGGGGGAGCACGCCTTTAATCCCAGCACTCAGGAGGCAGAGGTGGGCGGATCTCAGTGAGTTTGAGACCAGCCTGGTCTACAGAGTGAGTTCCAGGACAGCCAAGGCTACACAGAGAAACCCTGTCTCAAAAAACCAAAACCAAGAGAGAGAGAGAGAGAGAGAGAGAGAGAGAGAGAGAGAGAGAGAGAGAGACAGAGAGACAGAGAGAGACAGAGAGACAGACAGAGACAGAGAGACACAGAAAGACAGAGAGAGACAGACAGAGAGAGAGAGAGAGAGAGACAGAGAGAGAGAGAGAGAGAGAGAGAGAGAGAGACAGAGAGAGAGACAGAGACAGAGAGAGAGACAGAGAGAGAGAGCAGCAGTGCTTCCTGGGAGAACATGTGTTCCAGAGGTGGCCAAGGTTGTACTTCATGTTGGCAGCTGAACTTGGTAGTGTAAGCATCACCCAGGTGGTACTGGTTTTGAGGGCCTGAAGGGGTCATGGAGAGCAGCTGAGGCTTGGCACTGGGAGAGGCCAGAGGACATTGGTGAAGGTGCAGCCTCAGTGGCAGTTGAAGGCCCAGGAAAGAAGGTGTCAGTGCAGAGAAGTTGAAGCTTGGCACCATGAAGACAGCCTATGAGAGGCTATTGGTGAAAGTGCAGCCAGGTTGCCATAGATGACCCCAGCATTTTGGGGATGCCAGTACCATGGGATGACCACCAAGAACAGTAGCAGCAGTGGAGTGGTGGAGCCAGCTGGAACCTAGACGACAGACAAGCTGTGTGTGCTGCAGAGGGCAGAGCCAGAGAAGTGACCCAGGCCCCATGGAGGAGCCCAGAAGATTGTGAGTGGGTCCCAGGCGTTGGATATTGGGTTATTTACATAGCGCAATAACGAACAATGTTTCATTGAGGCAATAGGAAACACTAAGACAGTTTATTTCAGATTATAGTTGTAACACATCATGAGGAGAAGTCAGGGCAGGAACCGAGTGGCAGGAACTGAAGCAGAGACTGTGGAGGAACACTGCTTACTGGCTTGCTCTCTCCGGCTTGTGCATTCGCTACTGATGTTTTACAATCTTGCATCTAAACTGTTAACGCCCAATATGCAGGATACACAGACAAGGAACTTCCCTTAAGCATTCAGGAGGGTGAAACTCGGCAGGGAATTAGCATAGGGAGGATATCAAGGTCAAGGTCAGCAAGCAAGGCAGCAGTTACCCCAAACGGGGGTCAGGACCCTACAGGTTCCCCCCCTTTACTAAAAAATGAGCTTCTGACTTAGGTTGCATGGGATGTCAGCAGGTCACCTTATCCGTCATGGAGATGCCTGCCCAGGCCACACAGGCGCTCTGTCTTAGGTTGGTGAGCGCCCCCCAGGCATTACCCGTCTCTGAATACTCATTATCATACAGGCTCGATCGTGTGTGAGCTGCAGAGTTAATTGTTGCCAAAGATCTCAAAGTGGCGCTGGGCTTGCAATCAGTGTGTTTGACACAGAAAAGACCAACAGATGTCCTAACCCACCCATAGCCAGTAGGCTAAAGGTAACTGAGCCATTCCCTTAATGAGCAGCCTGCTTTCTTACACAGCCCAGGACCATCTTCCTAGTGGTAACACCGCCCACAGTGGGCTGGGTATTCCCACATCAATCATTAATTAAGAAAATGATCACAGAGTCTTGCCGACAGGCCAATCCAATGGAGGCATTTTCTTAATTGAAGTCCCCTCTTCCCAGATGACCCTGGCTTGTGTCAAGTTGGGAAAAAACAAAAACGAAAAAAACAACAACTAACCAAGACATTCAGGCTGGCCTCAAACTTATTATGTAGCTGAGGTCATCACCTTGAACTTCTGATTCTCTTGTTTCCACTTTCCCCTGGTGTAGATGGCAGGTGAGTGCCACCACCATGCTTGGGTCTTCTGTACCGGGGATCGAACCCAGGGCTTGGTGCGTGCTAGGCAAGCGCTCTACCAACTGAGCTACGCCACCGTCCCCTAGGCAGCTTAAGGTCAAGCACAAACACACACAGACCTCATCAGTAGCTCGACTGTGGGCGTTTGTAACCTCGGTGTCACCTAAGACCCTAGTCAGAGCGGCGAACGAAAGGGCTTGTACTCAAGCCCTCAAGGCTTGCCCGTTGTACATGCCCTTTTCATTGACTGAGCCATCTCGCTGGGCCACCGGTGGAGTTTTGTCCAGGCTGCTTCCATAGATCACAGGAAACACAGTGAAGGGACACCAGCCCACTGGAGCATGCAGCTCTGGCAGGCCTTGCCCTTCTCCCCATCCCCTCTGCCTTGCTAAACAGAGCACATTCCTCAAGCTAGCCACCAAGGTCTGTTCCCTTATTTGGCCACTTCCTCCTCCGGAGGCTGACTACCAAGGTCCAGCTATCAAGGTATTGGAGCCCAGCCATCAAAAGTCCCCTTTGGCTGCCCTAATTAACATGCCCGATTAAAAAAATGCCTCTGAGTTCGAGGCCAGCCTGGTCTACAGAGAGAGAGTTCCAGGATAGCCAGGACTACACAGAGAAACCCCGTCTTGAAAACCCAAAAACAAAACAAAACCAACCAAATAAAATGAAAACCTCATCCTAACATGGGGTTTCCTCTTGTCCCTTTAATAAACCGCCATTTTCCTATGTGACTCATCCGTCTCCTCTCCATCCAGAGGCAGTCCTTTGTCCCCTCCCGGACAAATACCCCTGCCCCCTCTCCCCTGTCCCTTCCCCCTCTCCCCTGTTCCCTTCCCCCCTCCCTCATCCCTATCTCCTGTCTTTGTCCCTCTGGGGTAAATCTCCTTGGTGCTGAGGACTTGGTCTTGGAGTGGGGGGTCCTGAGCCCATACTTGATTGTTTTCTTCTCATGCACCCCAAGGACTCCTCATCTTCCTGTGAATAGACCATTGCCAAGATGTGAAAATGGAAAACAATGCCACTGCTCTCACTGAAATTTTTGGTATTTGAAAATACGTTTTCCCACTGCTGGGGGTGGGGTGGGCGTAGCTCAGTGGTAGAGAACTTGACCAACATGCACGAGGTCCTAGGTTCTATTCCCTACCTTGGGAAAAAGTAAAATACATTCTCCCCAGGTTTATGTCTATCACCCCCTCCCCCCACACACCACAACTATTTTTGTGGTGCTGGGGATGGAATTTAGGGCCTCCTCCATGATAGTCCCTCACCCTCACTCTACCATTGAACTGTATCCTCAGCCTTTCACTGGAGGATTCTAGGCAAACCTCTACCACTGAGGTATGCCACA